TTTTATTGTCAAGTACTTTCGAGTCAGTTCATGACAATCTTGTCAGTATCTGAGATTTGGGATATATTTTACTTTTGTCTTAAGTAGAGTAGCAAATAGCAGTTGATGGGCACCTCATATATCTGGCACCATGTTAAGTTTGTATACTGCCTATAATGCTTGATTTAACTAATCAAGCAACTGTCAGACTAATACCATTCCTATATGCAAGCAAATTAACTGAAACACAGAGATATAAAGTGACAAAAGAGTAATCAAAAGAGCCAGGATTTAAAATCACTTCTATCTGGTTCAAAACTCTTGACTGTTCTTATCACCATTCACCCATCATCTTGCTTCCTCCTCCAACAGAATTCTAAGTATTTTCCAGGTTTATATGGTACCTTCCCATTATTTGATTTTAATTTTAAACATCTAACTCTTGCTTTTCTATTTTTATATAGTTACATTGCTATTGTTGAAACTTTCCTAGTTTACATTAATTACGTTTACATTTTTATCTGTTTATATTCTTACAGTTTAAAGCCACATATTGCACTACACTTTACTCTGCTATATTATAAAAAATATTTTCCTGGACATATGGCTAAATGTTTTCTTAGCAATCATCCTATTCGTCTTTTCTGATCATTGAGCTTTACATAAATTGGTCAGAAATATGCAGGATGCCTGAATAATACACCACTAATCCAGGGCATACGGCCACCCAGTAGCCATGCATTCTTTCAACAACTTCAGCAGTCATACAAACTTGCTCCAGAGATTTCAGGTCTGGATGGTCCCCACTCAAGATAAGGTAAAGTGGAGAGAAAGAAAAAGTAAAAGCATGCTGACTATGCCCCAAGAAGAAACTCTCAAAGGATGCAAAGAATTAAAATACCCAGTAAAATAAACAGAATCTTTATAGATTTAATATTACAAAAGTGTAGTAGCAAAGGAAATGAATGGCATCCAGATACTCTGATAACCCTTCTTTAGGTCGAATATCACATGAACTAAGATGCACTATATAAATCTAGTACTAAAACTGTATAACCAATTTTTGCCCTCTTTCGGGTGATTTACTAATTCATGTTCTCATCTTTTTATTTCTGCCACAGAACTTCCCACTTCTCGTATGGGAACTCCACTAAGCTTTTACCCACATTTCCCACTCACTTTTTCCTCCAATAAGAATCAGTTAGCAGTTACGTACAGTTATAAAGATATTCAAGACTCATCTTATCTTCCTTCAATCAGGAATGAGCTACTGTATACTTCAATGAATAGCTAAGCCAAAAGCAGGCTTACTAAAACTATTGCTTTCCTGGGTTACTCAACCCGCTTTAAAACAATCTAAGTACAAAAGGAATAATTGTAAAACATTAAAAATTCTATTCAATTAAACACATTTATGTGTATTACCATTTCCCATATCCTACTGTATGTGTATAGTGGTAGCAACAGTCATTTTTCTTCATGAATATTATAATCCAAGTATATCTACAAATTAATGTTCTACATTTAATTTATTAATTTTTTTCAGTAATGCCAGTCATTCATAGGTACTGGGATAAATGTTGCAGATTCAATCATAAATTATATAGTCTGTGCTCTCAGAGACCTTATAAACTAATTGTTCTTAAATGAAATTACACCAGATAATAGATAATATTAGCCTACATTACCACATCCTTCACAGGAGAAGATAAGGCTTTCTGCTTGCATAAAGATTTACAGCCTCCAAACTCTATACAGGGTCACAGGAAGTCAGAACCAACTCGACAGCACACACTCACCACCACCAACAACACAGCCATGAGTATTTTCGTATATAATATTGTCCAATGGACTCCTGGTGTGGTGCGGCAGGATCAGCACTGGACTGTGAACCACAAGGTCAGCAGTTCAAAACCACCATCTGCTTCTTGGAAACCATATACAGGGTTGCTCTTAGTTGGAACTGATTTAACAACACTTAACAACAACAACATTGTCAATCAGTAATGCTGTGAATTATGAAAGAGGATCGAGAAATACACCAGGAATTACAGATAAAATGAAGGGCAATTGTTATTAGACTATGCTGATATACTTGGAATCTTTAAAAACGTCAAAAAAATAAAACTGAAAGTGAAAACATCATCTCTTCTAGACAGGAAATTAACAAGAAACCTTAAACTTAAGCATTACTAACAGAACTGAGAATAACATACCATACCACATTCACAGTCTAACAGTCTTACAATATTCTGTGCCCCATTTTGTTTTGTTTTGTTTTTTCAAAGATAAAGCAAAACCAGAAAACCAACACACAAAGTTATAGGCTAAAATAAAATTTCATTTTACTAAGTATTGATAATAAATAAATATTTCCATATTAGTTTGTTTTCAGTCAAATGAGCGTCATGAAATAAATGTTCAATTTAGAAATATATCCACTTCAAATAATATTAATTCAACAACTTAAATCTTCATGCTCATTGCATTATATCATAATCCAGTTTTTTTTTAATCAGAGGTGTGGGCACCCAAATTGCTCTTTGATGAATATTTAGAATATTTAACCCTAGCCTTGAGTAAGTGCTCTGATAAAGAAGCACATTGATGAGGTTCTTTCAGGGTAGTTTATTTTAGATTTTCCATTTTTGTCAGTAATTTAATCATATGCACTTATTTATTATTAAGATCTTTATTCTCTTAGCACATCCAGTATTTTTTCCTTGTGTTAATATTTCATTATGCTTTGTATCCAGTAAAACTTCCTGATGAGATATGATGTCTCAACATATGAATTTTTGCTTTACTACTCCTAACGTGTCATCTATAGGTTTTAAAAAATGATTGGTAAAAATGGACGTGTTGGTATTGTGTCCATCAAAATCCAGTCATGTTTTCATATTTTCTGTCTATCTAGACCACTCTCCCAAGAACATGAGGAATCACACAGAGCTGAGTGAGTTCATTCTACTGGGAATACCTCAGACCAAGGGACTGGAGACAGTGCTCTTTGTCATCTTCCTGTTCATCTACCTCTGCACATTAATTGGCAATTTACTCATTCTCACAGCCATCATTTCTTCCTCTACCCTTCACACCCCCATGTATTTCTTCTTGGGACTCTTATCTACGTTTGACATATTTTTTCCTTCTGTAACTTGTCCCAAGATGCTTTCCTATCTCTCTGGTCAGAGTCGGGTCATCTCTTATAAGGGGTGTGCTGCACAGCTCTTCTTCTATCACTTACTAGGTTCTACTGAAAGCTGCCTCTACTCTGTGATGTCATATGATCGCTTTGTGGCCATCTGTCACCCTCTGAGGTATATGCTTATCATGAAACCCAGTGTCTGTGTGGGTTTGGCCATAGGGACCTGTTTAATAGGTTGTATTCATGCCACCACTCTGACCTCCTTAACCTTTCGGTTATCCTACTGTGGCTCCAATGAAGTGAACAACTTCTTCTGTGATATTCCTGCTGTCCTAACCCTGGCTTGTTCGGACACTTCTCTGGCCCAGTGGATGGGATTAATTGATGTTAACCTAGTGGCTTTAGTGGTTTGGGTCAGTCTTTTTGTCTTCTACACTCATATTGGGATCGCCATTTTGAAGATCCGTTCAGCAGAAGGCAGGCAGAAAGCTTTCTCCACCTGCAGTGCCCACTTTGCTGCAGTACTCTGTGCTTTAGGACCTGTAATCATCATCTATCTGCAGCCCACACCAAATCATTTGCTTGATGCTGTGGTACAAATATTAAATAACCTTGTCTCACCCATGCTGAACTCATTAATCTATTCTTTAAGGAACAAAGAAGTAAAAAGGTCCCTGAAAAGGGTGTTCCACAAAATAGTACCTACTGTTCTGCAATAAATTATGAGTTTAAAGATTATTTTTAAAAACATATTGACTTTTAGGATCATCCAGTTTTTCCCTTTTAAATAAATACTTGTCAGTACAAAGTGCAGATGCTTTTTCTGAAAAGTATTATATTGAGTTTACCTAGTAAGGTTTTCTGTTTATGTGTCAGTAACTCCTTGTACTCCACAAAGGACTCTGTATCTCACATTCTTCCCTGGATCATATTCCTGAATGAAGAATCTAACTAGCACAACAAGCAACTAGAGACAGAGTTTTTGTCCCTATAATCAGTACCTACTTGTGCCTGGATAGAAATAGTGAGGATCTGTACCGGTCCAAAAAATACCCTTCTATAGTTCCTCTCTGTGCCAAATAATCCTTCATTTTCTTATTTTTGGCTCCACTTTAAAAATGCAAGTGTTCCTCTTGTTTTCAACTTGTAAAAATTGTATTTCTTCTGAGTTTCTAGGAATCCTATTAATAATGTTATTATTTACCATAAGTTAGTATTAACTAGCACTGCTCATGATGATTGTGAGAATGGTGCAAGATGAGACAGTGTTTCGTTCAGTTGTATATGGGGTTCTTATGAGTCAGATCTGACTTGATTTTACAGAAGCGAACTTTAAAGATTAGCAACTTTAAGTAAAGGGCCCAAGGTCACACATTAACGAACAACACATACATACAGCTCACTCCAAAATCCCTGCTCTTAATCCCTCTGACAGACGTCTGACCTAAATGTTCCAGGAAGCATTACCTCCCTCCAAAACTTGTAACAGTTCATAATATTGTATTCAATAAATAATTGGTGTGAGACACAAGTCATGTTTATATAATTCCCTTATTTTTATCTTCATTTATTCTATTCTACTACATATTGTGGAGTAACTGGTGTGATGCTATAGAATAGCACTGATATACTAATCTCAAGGTCAGTGATTCAAACCCACCAGTTACTCTTCAAAAACTCTACACAGGGTCAATATGAGTTGGAACTGACTAAATATCACTTAACAACAGCTACACATTGCATAGATGTTAACACAGAGATACAGGAATACATTTTATTTCCTTATATAACACATGATGTCAGGGTAAAACCGGAACTTCACCCATGGTCTCTTAACTCTTACTGTCATGGTTTTGCTGCTGCACCATGCTGCCCGTACACCAAATTACTTCTTAGTGTCAAATAAATTAAAGCTGGCCATTCTAGTGGTATTTGAAGAGAAGACGCCTAATTATGGGTTCAGTCAATCCATCAAATTCTACTTTCCAACCTGAGTTAATCAATATTTTCCGTTTTCTCCAGAATTCAGGAAGGGAGATGGGTATACATTGCAGCATAGATAAGTGCGTTGGGATACAATATAAAGTCTATGGCCTCTAACGTGGCTTACAGGATCTAGATCACACAGAATCTTATTGTCACACTTTGCGAGACCAATACTATCCTAGACATTCGTGGAAGAGCCCACATGCCATGACATCTGACAAGGTTATATGATGGTTATGGGCAGACATTAATCACACTTATGATTAATTGCTCAATGGTTCCCTTCCTAGAAAATTAAGAGTTTCATAAATTTAGGAATTGTATTTGTTTCATTCACTGCTTGTTAAATGAAGAATAAATGAATGGTCAATATATTATTATGTAAATTTTATTTATTAACATGGCAACAAAAACATGAGTGGAATATTTGAGGTACGGAACAACATACCCCAAATCAAGTGTATATCCCCATCTAAATAAATTTGAAGACAAAATCTGAATGAACAAGGGCCCTTTTCTCTACCTTTCTAAAAATCAGTGTTATAATGCCTATCTAGCATAAAAAATGAAACAAAACAAAAGATAGACAAAGTAGCAATTAAAACAATTTAAAGATTTCCTATAGCTAAAATTTTAGAAACCCAAACCCAATATGGAGTCCTGGTGTGATGCTGTGGGCTAATGCTCTGGACAGCAAAGTTGGTTTGAACCTGAAGGTTGGCGGTTAAAGTTCACCAGCTGCTCTTCTTATGGGTTGGAACCAACTCGACAGCACATAACAACAACAACAAACCCAATCTAGCAAGTCTCTTCTGATTCATAGCCACCCTGTGTTGGGTTTTCAAGGCTGTAAAACTTTACGGAAGTCGAAAGCCTTTTCTTTCTTCTGGTGGATTCAACTGTTGATTTTATGGTTAGCAGCCCAATGCCTACTAAACCACTAGCCACCAAGGTTCCTTCAGACCATAAATTAGCACATTATTATAAACACACAACAAAATAACTTGCTATCATCAATTCAATTGCGACTGATGGTCACCCCATGAGTTACAGAGGAGAACAGCTTCAAAATGTGACCAACCCAAATCTTGTTTGAAGAGGTGCAAGTTTATACAGCAAGTGAATTAAGGTGGAGAGAAGGCTTTTATTTAGATGATCTGGCAAGGAGCAAGTTAGGACTAACTCTCCAAGACAACTTCCCTGATTACAGGGCAGGAAGCTTATTTATATACATAGATCAGGAAGTAATGAGGGAAATTATGAATATGTGATAGATTCTTAAGAAATAGTCATGAGTATGAATTGGGGAGGAATCTTGAATTCTGTCACAGAAGGAACCCTAAGACCTCTCTCCTAAAGGTGGCCTGAATTTATCAGATGATGTCTGTAAGAGAAATTTTTATTCCTTGACCAAAGTTTCTTCCTTCCAGGGTCAGTAAAATTTGTGCAGGTCAAATATAAGTTTACTATGCATGTCAAGCAGGCCATATCTGATTGAGACTTGTCTTTGTTTTCACCCAAACCCACTGTGGTAGGGTACTTTCTTGGCAGTTTAAAAGAGAGCAGAAAGAATAAGTTAATTATAAATTGCAATGGAGCATATTGTGTTTAGCATTCTATTGCTACATTTGTCAGGACAAGAAGGGAAGACCTATTAAGCATCTAATAACATTTATAAATGCTAAATGATTAAGGAAGTCTATAAATAAATTACAAACAATAATTGGAGCATATTGTTTTAACATCCAGCTGCCATGATCATCAGGACAAGGGATACAGTCTGTTAAACAACTAATAATTCTAAAAGATGATTCATGCCTATGGAATCCTTCTCTAGGGAGTGGTGCCTCCTGATAATATGCCCAAAGTATGAAATAAAATGTATGGTCATCCTGGCTTCTAAAGAGCATTCTGGTTGTACTTTTTCCAGATTTGTTTGCTCTTCTAGCAGTCCATGGTACATTTAATTGGATGCAATCTTTATGGAAGCAAAATCCTGTATGGATTTAAACTGCCAGCCTTTTGGTTAGCTGTTGTTAGGTGCCATCAAGTCCTTTCCAACTCACAACTTTGTTATGAACAACAGAATGACAACCTGCCTGGTCCTGTGACAACCTCACAATCAGGGTTATGCTTGAGCCCATTACTGCTCACTGTGTCAGTCCATTTCATTGGGATGTCTTCCTCTTTTTTTGCTGACATTGCGCTTCACCAAGCATGATGTTCTTCTCCATGGACTGGTCCCTCCAGATAATATGTCCAAAGTATGAGATACGAAGTCTGGACATCCTAGCTTCTAAAGAGCTTTCTAGCTATGTGTCTTCCAACACAGATTTGTTTCTTCTTCTGGTGGTCCATAGTACTTTTAATGTTCTTCTTCAACACTGTAATTCAAATGCACCAATTATTTTAAGGTCTTCGTTACTCATTGTCCAAGTTTCACATGCATATGAGGCTATTGAAAATACCTTGGCTTGGGTCAGGTGCATCTTAGTCATCAAACTGACATCTTTGCTCTTGAACACTTTAAAGATGTGTTTTGTAGCCTATTTGCATAATGCAATACATCATTTGATTTTTGAATGCTGCTTCCATGAGTGTTCATGGTGGACTCAAGAAAAATGAAATCTTTAACAACTTCAATCATTTCTCCAGATATCATAATATTATTTATTGGTGTAATGCTGAGTGTTTTTGTTTTCTTTATATTCATATGTGCAACCCATGCTGAAGGCTGTTGTCTTTAATCTCCATCAATAAATATTCTAAGTGGTATTTGCTTTCACCAAGCAAAGTTGCATCATCTGCATATCACAAGTTGTTAAAGAGATTTCCTCCAATCCTGATGCCAAGTTTTTCTTCATAACCAGATTCTTTTATTTTGTGCTGAGCATACAGATTGAATAAGCATAATGAAAAAAAGACAACCCTGTCATACAACTTTCCTAATTTTAAAATACTTCCTTGTTCTGTTCAAATGACTGCCTCTTGGTGTAAGAACAGCTTCCTCATGAGCACAATTAAGTGTCCTGGAATAAGGAAGCTCTGCAATGTTGTCTACAGCTTGTTATGAGTCACACAGTCAAAAGTTTTGTATAGTCATAAAGCACAGATAAACATCTTTCTAGTATTCTCTGCTTTCAACCAAGATTCATCTGACATCAGCAATGATATCATTCATTTTACATCCTAGTCTATATCAACTTGAGCCTCTGACAGTTTCCTATAAATGTGCTGTTGAACTGTTTTTGAATTATCTTTAGTAAAAATTAACTTGCATGCTATTTTCCACAAATTCCTCTAGGTCTTTTCTATTTTACATAAAATTTTCCTTCCTTACTTCTTCAATTCTTCTTACTTACCCAATCAATACTGATACAACAAAATAAAGGTCTAGGCAAGATAACAGTTAAAGAAGGAATTCTCATAGTAGTTGGAAGCTAGAAAAACATGTAAATACTTATGCTTTTAAAAAAATTATCATATATATATTATTGTTGTTAAGTGTCACTGTGTTTGTTCCAGCTTATATGACCTTATGTAGGGTTTATGAGGCTATAATCTTTGCACCACTCATCTATCAGTTTGTCATACTGTGGTGGCTTGTGTGTTGCTGTAATTCTGAAAGCTATGCCACTGGTATTTTAAATACCAGCAGGGTCACCCATGGTGGACAGGTTTCAGATGAGCTTCCCAATGAAGACAGACTAGGAAGAAGGAGTGACAAACAACT